TCCTCTCTTCCTCCTGTCTGCTATGGGTGAATAGGTGATTATAGCAGCAGATGTGTCATTAGGTCTGAGCAGTATTCGTGCGGATGCAGGGTGAGGAGTGGGGGGGGGAGAAGGGGGAGGAGGGAAAGTTTGGGGGGGCACGCTCCACAGGAATCACATTTCACTAACGTTTAGTCAATTTAGGGGATGTGCCAAGTTGTTTTCTTACCCCCCCCCCAACACAGTCTCACGCTCCTCTTCGTTTCCTCACCCTCGTCCACCCCAGCTGTCTTTCCATGGAATTGCTAGGCAGGAAGTTCCCTGAAACAAATGCATACAAGTGTGTAAATCTCTTCATAGCCATTTGCTACTTTTGAAATTGAAAAATTGTGTTGCATTCACCACGGAGTCTGCGTAGACTGTTAATCACTTCTAGAACTCGTCCCTCGGTAATGAAAGCAGGAGGTTGTGGGGCAGGTCGGTACACGCTTGGCGCGGGGATCAGATTACTGAATAGGATAAGTCATCTCGGGTCTAGATGGTAGTCTGAGCAACAGTGGTCACAAACAGATCCTTATTCAGAAAGAAGGATTCATTTAAAAAAGGATTTGGTGAGGGTGCAGTCAGATGATGTAAATGCGTCATATGTTTTATGGCACTAGTGGGTATAGAATACGCTAGGCAAAACATCCTAATCAGTGTTACATTCATTTACTATCCTCAATATTTAGTTAACAATTATTTACACAATGCATCATCCAGTGCACCTTGAGAGCCAAGTGAAGACGCTAGATATATGAAGAGCTTTTGTAAACAACTTTGTGGGGTTAACAATTTAATCATAAACAAATAGCTGTTGTAGATATGAATCAAGATTAAGCTGCATTAAAAAAAAAAAAAGCCACTCCCACATGGTGAACGAGACGGAGTTCGGGGTTTTAAGACGGCTCGACCGGCTTCTGACCACACCCCTAAAGCACTGAGGGACAGTCCACTTCGGATGGAAGTAGCAACGGGAAAAAGGCGGCTAGTACGTTTCGGTGCAATGCTCACAACTGGGCCTGCCACCCACCTTCATTTGCAGCCTTCCTGAGCCAACCTAGTGCTGGATGGGCTGCACCGCTGCAGAGGAAAATGCACCGAGCGAGGGCCAGCCCGCACTGAGGAGAGGAAAAAGTTGTGCTGGATTTTATAACTAAAAAAAACACGAGAGCATCACTGTGAAACAGAATGCACCATCTTGTTTTCATAAACATTATCAACATACTAATCTGCCTGAATGACCAAGCCAAACAGATGCTTTGCTCATTGGAATGATCGGTTCTGTCCAAGCGTACCATACCATGTTAACATAAGCCACACCTCTTGGCTAAACAGAAGCTGCGTGAACGGTAAATGTGTGTTTCATAACTTCACAGTAAAGTGACTTTTTCGTGCTTGAGAGAGTTTGCATTATGGAAATGAAATGTGTAGGTGGTCACACAGCTGTGAATCGCTACAATGTCTCCATACTGGCGAGTGTCTGGAAGTGATTCGTATCTGTGCTGCTGATCTGATAGAAACAGGACCGACGAGTCACTTGTGTATTCTTCATCTGACTGCAATTGGTTAATTTCTCCTGACACCCACCAAAGGGTGGAAACACATTTTTACTCACTCGGTGTTCTGGCGTGTCTCATAATGACTGTCAATACTGTCGTTATGGGGAAGAGCCTCGATAAAGGCTGGTTAAATACTGAATTGCTTGAGAATTATAAATAAGGAAAACATTGATTCCAGCTCTGCTAAAATTCGCTTTTACTTTGAGCTACTTAGTGGTACATTTTCCACAAAGCTAGCAACAACAAACCATGTTGTTATTGAGGTTATTCTTCGCAGTATCGTAAGAAAATAATCACACCACGTTATTTGATTATTATCGTTTGAGACAATTGTTGTATTTTCTTTTTATTGTTTATGCTCTTTAAACATTTATTTAATGTTTTTTTTCCGTCGTATTGATCTTTGATTTTATTCCCACCAATCTTGCGTTTTCTTTGAGTGTCCTGCGATCTTTGCTCCTATGTCTTGCCCTCCAAGCCCACCCAATACGCAACTTAACCACCACACAGACCTGACTGCTCTTATGTTATTCATGTTCAACACCCTGCCTTGTAATTTGAAATTCACTCAGGTTACTGTAAACTCGAGTGAGATTACAACAGTGGAAAAACCACCTGGCCCCAGTTAATAAGAAGGAGGCATGGAAATTGCTTATCAAAGTGTGAAACCATGAAACATTGTTTGGTCTAGTTTCAAAAAGGAAGGCCCTACAGCTGCTCGTATAAATACAAATGATATTTTCGATTTCTTTGTTCATAATCTTTTAAGAAAGTCACTGATTAGCTCTGACTGTACCAGATTTTCGTAGTGTTGATCAAAACACTTGTTAAGACATTTGTTTCTCCTATATTTCCTGAAGAAAGGTAGGTTGAATCAAATATTTAAGGGATTTGGATTAATAATATTATTGGCATACAACATCAAGTTTTAGTTGTAGAGACACAATGTCAGCAGTTAATGTGCAACTTATAATAATAAAAAAGGAAGTTTTGTAGTGTTTGCTCTTTAGTTCGTCCACCATTTTCCTCTGTTCTTACCTCTCTTATCTTTCTCAAATGTCTTTTTCCTTCCACTAACCTGTTGTCTATTTGTTCCAGGTGATGGCGTGGTCACATGTGCAGCCAGCACTGTGTGTGTGGAGATGGTTTTAACAGACGCTGCTCTGGAGGACTCAGGAACACTGCACTGGCCTGGCGAAGCCTCATAAACAAACATACACAACACACGCAACGCTGTACACAAGAAGACTTTCGTGCACACGCCACCGCCGTGCCTTGAGAAAGGACACACTCGCACAGACACATAACTTGAGCTTCACCTGAAGCACACACAAACACGTATACACCCTCTGTGTTCTCTACCTAAATATTCTTTGGGGGTCATAGATTCTCTCCTGTGTGAGAGTGTACGTTTTTATTTCTTCCCACTCGTCCCATCTCCACCGCCGCCATGCCGAGCTCCACCATTCGCCGGCAGATGAAGAACATGGTGAACAACTACTCGGACGCGGAGAAGAAAGTCCGAGAGTCCACCTCCAACGACCCCTGGGGCCCGTCGTCCTCGCTCATGTCCGAGATCGCCGACCTCACCTACAACGTGGTGGCCTTCAGCGAGATCATGAGCATGATCTGGAAGCGGCTCAACGACCACGGCAAGAACTGGCGCCACGTCTACAAGGCGCTCACGCTGCTCGACTATCTGATCAAGACGGGCTCAGAGCGAGTGGCGCTGCAGTGCAAAGAGAACATCTTCGCCATCCAGACCCTAAAGGACTTCCAGTTTATCGACAGAGACGGCAAAGACCAAGGCATCAACGTGAGGGAGAAGAGCAAGCAGCTGGTGGTCCTACTCAAAGACGAGGAGCGCCTCAAAGGAGAAAGGTAAGAGACTTTTTTTAATCCAAAACTCAGAAATATTAGGGGTTGACTTTTGCGATAAGCCTCAGTAATCATGCCACGTTATTCTGTCCTATCGGAAAAGCCTGTGCCCAACTTTTTTTTACAAAAGTACTCCCGATTCTGTGGGTTTGTGGATGTGACAGCAACCCTCTCCAACTCTGAATTACACATGTGCTCATCCAATTAAAATGGCCTCTTAAAAAAGAGTTACTGACGAGCCATTGGCTAAAATATGTCCTTTTTTTATTTTTATCAAGCAACATAATTTATTCACTCTTACTGTATATCTGCTCTGGTGCTGAAAACTACCAATCATATCAGTTGGCCCAGGGTGGGGGGGGTGTGATTCACCATTTGTTTGGCAGCATGTTTAATTCTAATGAATGATTTTGGCTTGCCATTTTTGAATTGGGAACTATTTAAAAGCCTCATTCTCATGGCTGTTTAAGAAATAGACTTCGTCTCACTCGTGCACATTTCCATTTCTAAAGACTATTTCCCCTTTTCTTTTAATACCTTATGCTTACGTTGTCTTTTTGAACGTCACACGAAGGATTAGAAGAATCTTAGTTAAGACAAGATTGTTGTTCAGAAGCTGATACTGTGTTTTATTTGTTGTCCTACTAGGTCTCAGGCTTTGAAGACCAAAGAGCGCATGGCCCAGGTGTCCACAGGGAGCAGTCAGATGGGTTTTGGCCGAGGCTCGTCTCAGCCTAACCTCTCCACCTCCTACAGCGAAGAGTACGGCAGGTCGGAGGGCTCACCTGCCTCCTACCATGGCTGTGAGTATTGCGTTATAGTCGCCACAGAGGCTACACACACACACACACTGCTCGTTTCATCTGTGTAAGAAGCACATATGATACCAAATATTCCATTATACTGTATTGTGCGTCCCAGTTGGTGAAACTTTGGCCTACATCCTGAAACCTGCCCCTCCCCCTGTTCTGGCTCACAGTTCCGCAGTAGGGCTGCATTCCTCAGCACATTCACACTCTCTCTCTCACACACACACACACACACACACACACACACACACACACACACACACACACACACACACACACACACACACACACACACACACA